AATCCCAATTCTCTCAGCCTTTCCTCATATGAGAGGAGCTCCATCCCTGTAATTGTCTTGGTGTCCCTCCTCTGGGCTCACTCCAACAGGTCAACGTCGCTCCTGTGAAAGGGATCCAGAGAAGGGTACTAAGTTTCCCCTTTTCCATTCATGTGGGACTTCCTGTGACTGCCATGACTTTTCTGATATTACAGAAAGTGGCTTGGCAATTACATAAGCCAATTCCCTCAGGAGTTCCTGAGTCCTCTATTCTCTGAGTCTGTTATCCCCTTTTGGCTGTTTTTGCTCTCCTAGCCAGAGGTAAGGGTGCTGGGAAAGGAGGAAAGAGTAAGGAAGAAATGCTAGATAGAATAGGCCTCTTCTATATAATACCTCTCCTACCAAGTCAGAAACCAAATGTCACTCTCCTGCACATAGCCATCCACTGAATGCCCTTCCAGTCTTCTCACACCCCTTTAAATCACCCACCCAGTACTACAATCCCTCCAAACACCAACCTCATTCCAGTCACTACCTCCTCAAAAGACTCACCACCAAGTCTCCTTCAGCTCCACTCACACCTTTTGCCCTCACCTTCAGCATCTCCTTTAGGATTAATGTCACACAAAGTGAAGACTGAGAGATGAGGACAAGATGTACAAAGCAGTTTATTTCAAGAGAGCTGAAGAACCATCACACTGAAGAACTGGTATTAGTTTACTTGTCATCGCTTCTCCTCAAAGCCCGTGGAACTATTTCTTCCATGAAATGAGCTCCCTTCCACCTCAGCACATCCTTCAGTTACATATGACTTTCTTGATTAAAAAAAAAAAAAAAAAAAAAAAAAAAAAGGCCGAAACCAACTTCTTTCTCTTTTCTCTTCCCAAGAGGTCTGTGAAACACTGTCCCACACTTCATATCTTAGGCAATTTTAACAGCTTGCTCTTATAAATTTTCTGCCTTTGGTGAAATTTTAAAACTTTTAAGTTTCTGTCTGCTGAGAAAATTCACATAACACTGTTTTCCTCTTAGTTTCATCAATCTCACTGTCCTGAAACACTAATACCTTAATAACAGATACTGAGGTGGGTAGTTTTTCACTTTCAGTCCTTATCACAAGCTCTTGAGATTTTAAATAAGTAAAAACACTACAGAGAAAATCCCCAAAACATACTACAGAGAAAATATTCAAAGTGAGAGCCACAGCCAACCACAAAAAGTCTCAATATTAAATTGATGAACCATATATAGACAACTGCCCCAAGAATATCTTGATTCCTTTTTCTTACTTCCTCTCTCCAGCTTTAGCTTCCTTTCTGAATGGCTTTCTCAAAATGAACAAAACTAGAGAGTTTTGTGTCCTGCATGAATAGTCAGACTAGCAGCAATTCTGTTTGGTTACATTTGAAACATGCTACTGAAAAAAAGTGTTTGCTCGGGCACCAGGCACTAGCAAGTTTTTCATCAATAAATATTGAGGCATTTCAGATAGAAGAAACTTCAACAGCTGCTTTTTAAAGAACAGGGAAAAAGCAGCTTACTCTGCCAGCCCAAACAACAGAAACCAAGGAAAAGGATGACAGTCATCATAAGTGATTTTTTTTTTTTTTTTTACAAAATCAAGTTCTGAAACATTTGGTTCAACTTTGAGTATCAACTATCTAAATAATTTGGAGACAACTGTAAGAATTTAGTTATCAACTCTTGGTACGGGAGGGAAGTGTGAGAGATTAACCTGAACTGTAGCACAATACTTTCTGGAACTGCTTCTTCTAGACATGCAGTGACACCTCAGAGATTACAAACTGATGAGGGTGAGTAAGAAGCTGTGTCTCACAAATTAAGAAGTACTGTTCTCCATGTAGGACTGAAACATGGAAAGACTTTCCACTGGCAGATCAAAGGGAAAATAAAACTAAGAAAAGACCTGTGAGAAAGTAGGTCTGAAATGCAAACTTTCCCATCTGCGGAATTAACCCTAGAGGTTTCTATGATGTGCAGCAGATCACTTGGGGATGCCAGAACTAAATGCAAGACAACCAAGGCAGTGACATGATGCTGAAACTGTGCAGGCCTCAAGACTACAGGCTAACTGTGCTCATGTGTCTGTGCTACTACTCAAATGTGACAATTGAGCTGTACACAGCATGTTGTTTGCCATACACTTACAGACTTATTTGGAACAAATTTAGGTGTGTAGCATGACATCACGTTGCACAAATTGTAGACAAACACCAACTCTCTCACCCCCAAAACCTTTCTGAATGGAGTTCAACACATAGGAAAGCTCGGGGAAAGAGATTTCTGAGTGAACTGAGAGTAGCCCAAGGTAGACATTCCAACATTGCCCTAAGGGTAGTTATGTGGTCCAGAATTCATATTGTAGACAGTACCTCACTTGACATGTCTTCGGTATGCATTGAGAATCCAGAGTAGTGCCAGAATGGAAACTCCAATCAGAAAGACACGTCCTGTATCAGTGTCACACTGCACAACTTCACTGCTTTTGATACCTGACCTAGTTCATCCAGGTCTCCCTTATAATATCTACAAACAGCTGTTTCTCACAGAGTAGACATACTCTGGGAAGTAGGCAAATAAGGCAAGACTAGCTCCTGATGCCTCCTGTGACAACCAGCCCAGGGCAATGCAGATGTTACATTATGAAGAAAAGCAAAAATGTAATTGATTATACAACTTTGGAAGAATTTATGAGCCATAGCAGCTGTATAGCATAGTAAGGTCCTGGTCCTTTCTGACTACTAATTCAAAGGATTTTTGCATTGAAGCACTAGGCAATATTGCACCAGGAGATTAATTACTGATAATTAGAAAATGGAGAGGTCATTTCTCACTGTAAGCTGGATCCTGATGCACAGAGCCATGTGATGATTAAAAAATCTAAAATCACAACTGAAAACTTTGGAGAGTAGAAATCACACAAGTGAAATTCAAAGTTTGCAGCAACAAACTGATGCACAGGGAGGAAACATATGAATTACAGGTATGGATAAATCAACAAAAGTGTGCTCCTTCCTGAAAACAGGGTCTGTAATACTCCTTGATCTCCAGTCTCAGGGCAGTGTGCTCACTCCAAAGGGAAATGAAACAAAATAACTGAGTAAAAACCTGAGCATGTGTCCCTGAGAAAGACTCTGTGGAATGTAGATTATATCTGAGAGGTGATCTCTCAGTAGGACGTACTGTGGACTTAAATTAACATGCTTCTTAACAAGGCACACTTGTTACTTAGCAAGAAGCTACTTCTTCCCTTTCAGAACACTGCAGTTGAAGATTTATTCACAATGGCCAGAAAAATATTGTGGGTTTTTTTCCAAAGTATTATTTTCACTCCTGTGAAATAGCCTTAGGGTGAAATATTACAGCTGCACATGCAGTTGTGTTACTGGTCCATTACACCAATTTGTCAAGAGGCATGAGGTTTCCACCTATACTGTTGCAACTATTTGTAGTTGTATTCAGAGGACTGAACTCTATTATATCAACTCTGACAGACTGAAATGTTAAATTCTGGTCTGAACTTTGCAGTGTTTAGCAACAAGTAAGCAAATGAGCAAAATGGGATTTGTCAGGTGCAGATTTTTAATTTAGCAGAAAACAAAGGATCTGAATGTCTTTAATTTCTTTAGAATTGTGCAGGCCTCAAGTTCCCTTGGCTACAGTTTAAAGACATTAAATTGTTTCTATGGGATGCTGGTGAATTCATCACTTCATGACCATGATGAAAATCACACTTATAAAAGAAATTAATGATCATAATCAGCACATGTTCAATGGCATGTGGAGATCATCATCTAAGGACAGACATATACGATGAGGCAATGTTGACAATAGCACAGAAAATTAGCTCTAGGACAAAAAAACAATGGAAATCAGGAGTAATGATATTGGAAGAGGGAACTACATGCCCAGAAGACAAAGGACCTCAGAGATGCACTGAGCTTGGTTAGTCAGGGGAACCAGTAAACTCATTCTGGGTGGCTGGGTCTGTTTGCAGAATCACTGTATAGCGATTATGTCTGAGGTGGGGAGAAAAGGTCGAGTGGTGACAATTGTACCTATGATGGTTTAACTCAGGGACATGGAAAATAAGGGGTGAATCACTGAACAAGTAATGTGAGTTATAACTGTGGTACTAAATGAAAAGGGAATTACCTCATCATTGCCGTGTAACAAACACTAGATGATACATGCCCCAAATGATTCAGCTCAATTATTCCCCAGATGTTTGGGTTTTTTTGGCAACAATCTATGAAAATCTTCAAAAGCTAAATATGTGGAAGCAGAGAGATCATAACTGCATTGACACTGGACATGAAAAAGCCAGTTGACTTAGGATTTTCTGTAGAGACATGATGGCGGAGCAGCAGCACAGTACACCTGCTGTGCTTCCCACTACACTGCTGGAAAGAGGATTTAGCATCTGGGCATATCCATTGCTCCATAAACAGTATGGCCTTTTTCAGATGCTGTATGCATAGGCACCACCTCATCTTGCTGGGCACCTTCCTCTGTTACCTGCTCTGTCTGCCAAGAATGGGCCTGAGCAGCGCAGCAAGTGAATTCTCTGATGGAGTGATGTTTGGGACAAACCCTCTTTCCACAGAGAATATCAACATGCGGGGATATACGAAACGTGAATTCACTAAGAAAAATTCCAAAGTATCAGAAGAGGAGAGGCATACCTTCTAGAGGAAGAAAACAATAAGAAAATCAAGTAACTTTGTTTTCCTCAGACCATAACAAGACCAAAATCTACCAGAGGCACACATCCCTTCTTCCCCTTCAATCAAGTACAAGGCAGTTATTGAAGAACATATATATTATAGATCAATGTATAGATGTATTTTAAAATTTGCTTAATAATGGGCTGTGGCATGAAATGAAAGAAAAAAAGCAATGGTTGCTCAAGAGCTGTTAAGCATGGCTACTAAAGCAGGAGGTGCTTTGGCCAGTGCAGAACAGAAAAAAAGATGAAGAAACTCACATTTTGGACTTACCTAGTGGTGGCTGCTGCTTCTTGGAGAGGTTCTCATCCAAGCAACCTAATGACAACGGAAGCACTCCTTCCTCCCTGATTTCAGTAGGGTCTGGATTGGGTCTCTGCTGCAGCTCCTGCTGCACTCCACCAGGCTGCCCCACTGTCTGCAGGGCAAACTGTGGAATCACAAACAGTTCATGCAGTGGCAAAATGATGTCAAGAGTACGATTTTCCTCAGCTATTCACAGCCTGGTGCAATCTCAAGACATTAGGTCCGAATACCTGCAAGGCTGTGTCAGCCCACTTTTTTGAAGGACAAAATCAAAACCAAACTGAAGTCAGCAGCCAGAACACCAACTGTTATGGATTTTTCAAAGCTTTTCAAGGGAATCCAGTTGCAATCTCTGGGAGTTTCCATTATATATCATAAGCTTTATTTACAGTTTTGCCCATTGCAATAATTTCCTGAGCCTATGGGAATTAGAACAGGTTACTGTATGATAATCAGGGCAGGAAGTTTGGAGGTACCAGATACTCTCTGATAAGCTCCTGTATATATGCCCAAGTCCTGCAGTAAAAATGTACTGATCTACTTTTCTTTCATTCAGGAGCAGGTTACATTTCATTTATTGCAGGGTAACAGTGGTCACTCAGGCAAATATAAATATGACAGTGTTCAGTGAGGTGGTTCTCACACTCCAGAGCAAGCAATACAACACAGAAAAAAAGCAGACAGCAGCTCCTCCTTTCATATGAGATCTGTTCCAAGATTATTGGCTTAGTTTTTACAAGCTCCTTTAAAAAATGGGCTGTATATTACACAAAAAAATGTATGGCAGAGCTATTCTTCACATCAAGTTATGATTAATACAGATTTTCTAAATAACTCCAAATACTAAAAGACACATTTTTTCTTGTCCTCTGCCACTTTTAAAGTACTTATCCAATGGGTTTGGAAGCTTAATGGGATTCTCTTCATAGTTCCTCTAAAAATACCCTTCCAAATTTTGCACTTTTCTAAAAGAAACCTTGGGCTTACCAAAGTACATATCCTCTAGATTGAGCAACCATTGTCAAATGTCTCTGCAGTTTGGCTCAACATGATTAACGTTGATGGGAAAGGCATAAGGTAATATTCTCAGAAAAGCAATAATAATTTCAGAGCCTATGCCCCATTTTCAAAAGTAAATTATGTTCTAAGGTTTTTCAAAGGTATTTAGTATTTGAAGTATTTTGGTATTTTAGTTTTCATCAGTTTACATGCTGACTTGTAACTAGTTTGAGCACTTAAGAAGCAAAGGGCAGTCTTTTTTATATTCATAAATATTTTCAAAACCCCATTCCTTGAAAACCGTAGTTCCAATGCTTTAAAAAAATTGAATTCACAAAAATGAAAATATTTTATTGTGATTTTTCTGTATTTTTTCAGAAGTAAAAGGAAAACAAAAAAAAAAGTGAGACAGGAAATCTGAATCTGCAAATACAGCTCAATAATTAGATATCCACAGATCACAGGCTTTAATAACTAAGTGATAGTAACAGATATTTCAGTGCTAACAACTATAGGTATGGATTTCTTTGGATTTCATTTACTATATTTATCATTTCTGCTCTCCTCTTTGATGAACCAAACAATATTGGACAAATGTTACAAACGTATGTTAAACAAAGTGAAACCACTGAAAAGGTGAGTGGCAGCAGGTTAGAGTGAATAACAGAAAAATAAGGTAAAAGTTAAAAGGAGGGGAGAGAAATAGAAAACAATGGGCTTTTGAAGAGTAAGTTAAATATATTAGCCACTTCATACAGTTTCATATCCATACAAAATTATATAAAACTCTTTGTAGTCCTGTTATTTTCTTTTTAAAAATCTATTGCAGAACTTGTAAAATGAGATAAAAAGATCATCCTCTGTTTTAGAGGCAGAAGTTTCTCCAAATCTTTCGTTAATGCATGAAGTATAATATTATCTATGTTATTTGTCTTCTTGCAATAACTGAATAAATCAGTCTCTTACCTGTGTAGGAAAATATTCAATAAAAAGTCAATATAAAATACTATTTGGCTAAAATTTCTTTTAAAATACTCCTGGTGGACATTTCACCTCACAAAGGAGTTTCTTAATAACAAATACACAACGCTATACACAAATACAAATATGCTTTTCCTCTTACTAACACGATACTGAGTACTGGCTTGCAAAGTAATACCCTTCTAAGCTCCCTTTCTCTTTGTGTACATCCTTTTGCTACGGGAAATGTATACCACACAAACAAGTTGCTAAGAGATAATACAGATTGTGAAATTAAAGTACATAGCAGCAACTTCTCTTGGATGCCCATGTAATCTTACTCCCATTGAGTAGAATGTAGTTTGCACCTCAGCGGATGTGTGGCAAAGACTTTACCTGTACCATAAAAGAAGCCATTGGGTGGAGTAGGCAACATGCTGTAAAACCCCACCCTGACTTGCCTCATGGTACTTTGCTCACAGAGGTATCCCTTGGGTTGCCTGGAGATGGATATTCTTTCCCTCTTCAAAGAAAACAAGGAAACTGTACCTGATGAAAGATAAAATGAAATGTTTATGGAAAGTGCAAGACACTTCACTTGCAAATAACTGGAAAGTTAAAAGCCGTATGTGAAAATTTAGCTCTAGGCAGTTACTTATAACTCACTTATAGGCATATATTCTCTTCCTTTCTTTTAAAATTGAAAACCAATTTTAATTTCTTCTAATAGAAATCCACTGTCTGATTTTCAAAAGCAAACGTTTTGTTTTGAAATCATGGATGCAGAACTCACTTGTATGAAAATGGTCTGACATATATGAGGTCCATGACACTGACCCCCCAGAAAATGAAAAAAATTTATACTCTGAATGACCAAGGACTAACTTCTGTAGTAAACCCAGTTTATGATACTGGAACTCTGTTAACTTGGCGAACTATAACATTTTTCAGCTTTCTTGTGTTTCATACATGTATTTATCGCATAAATGAATCAAGGACTCATACTGAGAGAGTATTTTTCATTTGCTTGGGATTTGGGGAGTTGTTTATGGTTTTTACTAAACTCCATAGTTCTAAAAAAGGTTCTGTTTTCCAAACATAGTTTTATTTCTAAGTGAAAGATTAGCAAATTAACACTGTCATGCACAAAATCAGTATGTTTATCAGCAAAGATGTTCATGCATCTGTGTTGAACTTACCTGCAGCCATGTTTTGTTGATACACACAGCTCAAGTTATATTTAGTTGATATTTAATTATAAAAGCATGTCAGAATAAAAGATCAAAATCCAGTGGCCAACCTTTTGACAAGTGACCCTTTAGATAGCTTTTACCCTTAGGACAACAACTACTTCATTTCAGTAAGTGCTGCAGGAGTCGTCTTATATTTTAAAAGACATTTTTAGATAGAAATAAGAGTAGAATCACAGAAAGAAACCACTCCAAGTGGTTTTGGACAGATGTGCTACTATGTTTAACCTACTCTTCTTACACAATAGATATATATATCTCAGATCAAAGACATACCCTGTAGAGTATTACAGCAACTAGTAGCTAACAGGAAGAGTAAGTCAGGTGGGAAAAAAAAAGTAAGAGGGAGCAGAGAGAGCAGAGAGGGATTAGCAGAAAAGTAAAAGAGTGTTTATTTGAATGCCTGAATCTTCCAGGCCACACAGTCTTAAACTGGCTAACTATATCACTACCTTCACTTTCTAACTTGACTTTTTTCCATGCAGATTAGTTTCGTATGTTCCAAGAACTCTCTCATTTTGTGTTGGATTTTTGTGGTTTGAAAAGCAAACAAATGTCTGGTCATTTAGGAAACTTCATGATGCAGCAAGGTAGAGCACAATAACCACTTTGAACTACATGGAGATTGGCAGTGTGGAAGGCCAAAGAGAACAACACCTGCTGTGACCTCAGCAGTCATCCGCTTTGTGTCAATACAAGGGCAGAAAGTAACAAGCACAGAGCCAAGTTCAAGATATACAGTTAGACAGGCAATCCCTACGTATAGGGCTTGGCTCTAACTCCCTCCCAATGCCAGAGTGACAGACACACCCACATGAATGACTGGAGAGAGATTTACTTAAGTGAGGCATGCAGGGCCAGTACGGCAGGATAGAACACAGTGCCATACAAAATACACCCCGCCATACAAAACTCCGTAGCTATTTGAAGAAGTTCCTATTAACCTCTTGCTTCATCCTTAGTACCACCCTGAAGGAATGTGTTTATGGTAGAAGTTAACAGGCCTGTCTACACCCTTGTCATGGGGGAAGGCACAGCCCAAAGAGCATGAAAAGAGGTCAAGCCACAAGATAAAGCCCACAACAGAAACAAATGGCTAAAATACATGCCTATGCCACTTCAAAGGAGTTAAAGCAATGTAAGGCACAAACAATATGAGGTCAAAAGATACCATCTGAAATGCCCATAACTTGACTGTTGTCATTATGGTGACAGAAGAAGTACACTACATGATTCTTAACATGCAAAGGACTGCACAATTCTCACTGATAACTCCGGTGACAACTCCAGATCAATAGGACTGGAGTGGAGACTGATGTGTACCTGAATAGCTGGGAAAGAAGTGTTTCCCCTTCCTGTGTGCTCCAACCTTCACCTGCTTTTATAGCATGATTTGTCTTGATCTCCATCATATACTTCCTCATCATTTCCCTTTTACAGTGCATAACTTCTCACTCTCCCTCTGATTATTCCCTCACTTGAACTTCCTTTGACCACTCCCATTATAAAAGCATCCCACTTGAGCCAACTCCATCTTTTTTTCTATCTAGAGCTCTTGGAACACAACCTTTACAGTTTCTACTTGTGGCTTCTCTCCTTGTAGGGTTCCTTCTTTTTGTAACTGAAGCTGTTTTTACCAGAATATTTAATAATTCTTTTGTAACCAAGAGGTACATCAATAACCTCTGATTCATGGGAAAGGAGGGAAGGAGTTTGTGTACAATATAGACATTCTAGTTGATGTTACACAGTTGCTATAAAACTCTTGAATCATGGAAGACCTCATTATATGGGGAATCCACCATTTGTTTACAAAGGCTTCATCACAAACAAAGCACAATAATGGGTTGTTATAACTTTAATGATAACCTATTCAAAGAGCTCTGGCACAATTAGTTGGATGAAGTCTAAAGAA